TGTTTCAGCCTTACACAATAGAATAGGAATGTGTTGACTGATATGTGTATATAAGAATGTAAACCTAATTGAATATATATGAAAATACAATTCCAGTACAACATGTTTTCTTAGAGAATATTTCTTTGTAATGCAAAGCTTGTATAAGTATATACTAAATTTATCTTTGTGAATGAACTTGATTTTAATTGTAACAAATTCAAGCTACAATGAACAACTTTAGTCATTAAATATTCTACAAAGATAAAATTATGCCCAAAATGAAATTATGAAATCAAATTCACTCTTTTCCTAGGAATACATTAAAATAATACTTCTAGAGCCTCATATGATCCCTCAACGCCTCAATCCTTCTTCGTAAATATGCAAAGGAAAAAGCATAAGCCACATAACCATATTGTGATGATGTTTTTTTCTAGATGTTTTGTTATCGAAGCTCAAGGTAGATATCTTCTTTTCATTTTGATAACGCAATCCTGAACACCCATTTTCTCTCCTTCGACACCCTTATTTAGTTTTGGTCTTTGGATTGAATAAATTAGAAGATTAACTATGTGCGGAAATCATTTCTCATTCTTTATGCACGAGATTAGTCTTGCTTTCAAGGAGCTAGCCCTTTGTGAGGCTAAACCCACCCCCTCTCCCTAGTGTAGATAATAACGTTTGTTAAAAAATAAAAAAAAATCTTGTTTTTGAGGAATATGACTTTGTAATTGTCTATATTTCTCTATCTACTCCAACTCAGCCAACATCAAATGATGGTTACAAAGTCATATTCCCTGAAAGCAAGACTGTTTTTTTTTTTTTTTTTTTTTTTTTTTTTGAACAAACAATATTATCTACACTAGGGAGAGGGGTGCGTTTAGGCTCACAATAAGCTAGCTCCTCGAACGCAAGACTTAATCTCGCACATAAAGATTGGGAAATGATTTTTGCACATTATTATTCTTCTAATTTATTCAATCCAAGGACCAAAACTAAATAAGGGTGTCGAATGACAGAAAATGGGTGTTCAAGATTGCGCTATCAAAATTAAAAGAAGCCAACTACCTTGAGCTTTGATGACAAAGCATCCAAAAAAACATCATCATAATGTGACCTCATATAATCTGATTATATATTAGCTTCAATATAGATTGTGTAATATAACATTTGAATAAGAACAGTTGAAAGATGATGACTCACTTCAACCTAATTCCACGCCTAACATTGCCCTCACTTGTCATTGACATCTTTGAATTATTCTTACAAGTCAACAATGTTGTGTTGATCTCCTTCAACTTCTCCAGTTTTGGTCCAAGTTTGACAAATTTAACTTTCCAAGGTGATGGACTTCTATCTGGGGAAGTAATCTAACTCACAAATAATCAAGTTGATGATCTTCCCCTTCCTAGCAATGTTGGCAGAGCCTTTTATGCCCAGCTGGTGCGCCTTTGGGATACCAGCTTAGGGATGCTCACGGATTTCACAACCCATTTCTTATATATAAGACTATGCAAGGTCCATCCTCCCATTAATGTGAGATTCATTCTTAACATGGGATGTGAAGGTAAAAGAGCCCCATATTGGTGAAAGGAGAAACTTTGCAATGGCTTATAAGAGGTTGGGCTACTCCCCATATTGCCAATTGGTTTTATGGTGTAACCTCAACTTTATTTATGGTATCAAAGCAGGTTGTCCCACTTGTGAAGCCTAACGGCCGCATACACTCCACATCACCCTGTTGTGTTGTCCACGTGTTAAGCTTAAAAATTTGCCACATGTGAGGGGCTTGTTGAGAATGAATCCCACATCGATGAGAGGAGTATTAAGAATGAATTTTATATCAAACGACCACTCGCACTCCAAAGAATAGTGCAACAAAGTTGTCAATCGCGTTAAAATAAGTGATGAAGTTATTGCATTATGAGAATTATTAAGGCCACGGCATTTTTCTATCGCATTAAGGTTTAACCGAATTTTCTTTGTTAGCATTCTTAACATGCCCCCTCACTTGTGGTGAATTTTTAAGCCTAACATGTGGACAACACAATAGGGTGCCTGGAGAGCATGTGGCCGTTCGATGTGAGATTCATTCTCAACACTCCTCCCATCAATTTGAGATTTAGTCTCAACACTCCTCCATCGCTTTGGGACTAAGCATGCAATACAAGCATACCTCAAAGGAAGACAAGTTGAAAGTTTACCTCCGTTTACATGGTATACCAAAGGACTTAGATGCTTTGATGTGGAGAGCAAACCTAAAAAAGGGAAGAGGCGATGCTGAGTAATTAGGAATATGATGTGTGTGGCCATGGTCTTAATTGAGTTTTTGAGAGGATTGATAAAAGATCTAGACCTGACGAAGATTGTATCAGATGATGATTGAGAGTTCGCTTTCTTTTGTCCTTCTTACTCACTAATTTTGTCTCTTATGGTATTATTGGGTAAGTTTGAACCCATGGATAAATATAGACAATCATCTAGGTGTGTATGGATGAAATGGAGAAATCTGCAGCTCGTTTCCTTGTGTCATTACACTATTACATGCAAGAGCTCTTAATAATCACACTCTCTATCTCTATATATATTTGTATAGATATATTTCGTTGTGTCTTGATTACCCGATGAATTTTACGTCACACAAAGGTTTTCTATCCCATATCGATGGGAGGAGTGTTGAGAATAAATCTCACATCGATGGAATGAAGGTCCTTGCATAGGCTTATAAGTATGTTGGGCTACTCCCCATATTGCCAATTGGGTTTATGATGGAATCCCAACTTTCTTTATAGAGGAGGAGGAAGAGGAAAAGAAGAAAGTGGATGCTGGACTGCTGCAAGGGAATGGATGCTTAGCTGTTGTATATGCGATAAACTCACTCTTCCACTCATTGTAAATTTATCCTAAAACAACATTGAATCAGAATAGAAACTTTACCAGTAATGAAAATGTAACAAGAATTTATAACAAAACACAACCTAATTTAGCAAACAATCAATTAATTTTGTTTCTTGAACCCAACAAAAGTTTTGCTGGCAAAGGAAATCTCACCAAAAAAAAATGACTCGTTGAAAGTGGCATTAGAATCCATGCAAACAAATTATTTTTTCGGCATTGGGGTACTAAGTAGATAAAAAAGTTGTTGGGAAAGGGTTTTGCCTTTCTAGACGAATACACAGCAAACAATCCTCACGTAAGTAACTGCAGAGATGAGTTCAAACATTTGGTTGCATATATTTTTATAATGTAGGCTTACTTAGTAAGATAAAACTTTGTTGTTGTTGTTGTAGGCTTTTTATCAATTACAGAGGTGCTGGATTTGGGGCATTTTCCAAAATTGGGAAGAGAAATACCACCAAATTTGAGGTTTTCTGGACTGCTAGAAATGCTTCATTATAAACATGTCAAGTTTTTCTTTGAAAACTCAAGTGATTTATGAAGAACCCCATGGCAAGTGCTCTATGACCCAAAAGCGCTTCAAACATTTTCCGCCAAATTCAGTCGGAAGTGTTTTTGATTGTCAGAAACTGCTTCTAAGATTCTAACCCTTCCAAAAACAATCCCAACAGCAGCTCCTTGGTGTATCAATTAACTTTCACCAAAAGCTTCTATCGTTGTTGACTGGCAGCGCTTACTGACATTTCTTTTCTTAGTTGTTGCCTAAAGTCTCAGTCCTTATGAAATGCATAGTCCAACCATAAGAAAATAGGTTATACTATAGATTTATAGACTTGGTTTGTATATACCGTTTTTGTATAGATGTTGCTGGAGTTGGAGTAGATAGAGAAATATAAAAAAGAGGTCAAATGACGGCTACAAAATCATATTCCTCGAAAGCGAAGATAGCTACCATGAGCTTTGATAACTCAGCTGTGAATGATTCGACAAAACATCATAACAATCTGAAATCATGTTATCTGTATATATATTAGCTTCAATATAGATAGTGTGAGCATTTGAGTTAGAACAATTGAAAGAAAATGACTCTCTTCAACCCCAATTTTACACCTAACATTGCCCTCACTTGTCATTAACATCTTTGTATTCTTCTTACTAGTCAACAATGTTGTGTCAACCTCCTTCAAGTTCTCCAGTTTTGGTCCAAACTTGCGGATTTAACCTTCCAAGGTGATGCATTTCAATTTGGGGGAGTAATCCAACTCACGAAGAACCAAGTTGAAGGTCTTCCCCTTCCTCGACGTGTTGGCAGAGCCTCGTATGCCCAGCTGGTTCGCCTTTGGGATGCTAGCACAGGGAGGCTCACGGACTTCACTACCCATTTCAACTTCATCGTGAATTCCCTGAGTGATACCTACTACGGCGATGGCATATCCTTCTTCGTTGCACCATTCGGATTAAACATCCCTCACAATTCAAGTGGTGGATACTTGGTTTATTTAGTTCTGATTCGACTTTTGACTCCTCCTGAAACAAAGTCGTTGCCGTTGAGTTTGACAGTTATAAAAATATGTGGGATCCAAGTCCTATCATGAAGGAATCAATGTTAATTCCATAACCTCAATAGCCAATGTCACATTGAAAGGCGGCATAAAAAATGATCTGTAGCAAATGCATGGGTAAGCCAACTCCACGACCCAAAACTTGTGCGTTGTCCTAATTTTTTTTGCTAAAAATCCAGTACACGATGTCGGAGATTGTAGTCTTTCATATATAGTCGATCTGAGGAATGTGCTGCCGGAGCTGGTTAGCGTTGGTTTCTCTGCTGCCACAGGTGTGGGTTGAAATACACAGCATTCGCTCTTGGTCATTCTGTTCAACCTTGGAAACCAGCAGTGCCAATGCAGCCGGGACTCTTCAACTCAAGATTATTTCTGCATTCTGTTTGTTAGTGTGGGGAATACTTGTTTAAATTATTTACAATGATCAACCATTGTTTTGGGATGTTTGCTGCAAATAACAACACTCCAAGAACACATCTTTTTCTTTCTACTACGAATTTGCTCGCCACCCTATTTAATTTTCATGGTCATGGATGTTTAACATAAAACTACATTGCGTACGTCTAACATGCCATTGATATAGTAAGTTCATACGCTTCGCGTAGACAAAGTCATTTAACTCGTTTCCTCACCTTCGCACAGGAACAAAACCGAAGATGAATATTTAGTACATCTGAAAAAAGCACGCTAACTTAAGTTACAAGTAATAACCTTGTATTTCCTTACGAGAACATTGACCACATGTGCCTAATTATACGAGCTATACTCCAGGCAACGGGAACTGGGTGGTAAGAGCTTCAACTCTTCTCTGCAGATCTGACACTCGGTCCTTTAGGGAGAATTCGGGGGAAGCTACAAACTTCATGAAATCTTGGAGCTTCGATCCTGAGGCTGCGTGTTTAGCATCAATTGTTATCTGCACACCCTCATGAATATAGTCTGCAACAGCTATGAATTCTTTCTCGGTGAATCCTCTTGTCGTCATGGCAGGTGATCCAATGCGAATGCCACCAGGCACTACAGCACTTTTATCACCTATTTCATCAAATATCTCAGGTGTAAGATCAAGAGGAACAAAAACTAAAAAGCTCAAAGACAGATAAAACCACAACTACACTAACAAAATAGCTCATAGATAAAGACCCTTCAAAACTAGGCAAGTACCCTTTAGGGCCAAATAGGCGTGAAACCAAAAGTAAAGGTCTGGAACCCTTAGCCCATCGGGTAAAATTATAGAAATGGCTTGATTAAACTATTAGGATATATAAACATTTGAAAGAAAGAAAACATGTCCATTTCATATGATTACTTGCATATAATTACTTCAAATACATCCCGTGTAAAACTTTATAGCCCTATTCTGAAATCCAGAGTTCTCTTCAAAATTTTCAACCAAATTGACCTCTCTACACTCACCAGGTACTGAGTTCTTGTTGAGGGTGATAGAAGCCATGTCGAGAATTTTCTCCACTCGAGCTCCATCAATACCCTGTCAATAAAGGAAATGACAAATAACAAAACTAGATTCCGTTATAAACTAATGCACAGGATCCAGTAACTTTTATCCTTAAATAATCCTATAACATCACAAATGAGAAAACACAAAACAAAACAAAACGACAAGGTCAGGCAGTGAAGGAAAAGGAAGGAAGAAGATTCCTTTTTAAAAAATACCTTGTCAAACCTGAAAAAAAAGAAGAAAAAAAAAAGAAAAAGCCATTTAAACGTTAAAATTAGGTCATACTCATCTCAGTGAATTTCTTGTTCTTTCTGTACCTCTAATGCTAACTTTTAAAGCATAATGTTGAGCAGGAAACATAGATAAAACAACAGCTAAACTTCCACGTCTCAGGACATGGTCTCATATAAGCAGCAAAGAGAAATTAGTATCGATCAAAACAAGTTAATTAATTAACAATCTAGGACTAGGAACTTACTAAAGGCCGGAGATCCACAAGAACCAGATGGTTATCACTGCCACCAGAAACTAGTTTGTATCCAAGTTCAGTTAATCGGCTAGCAAGAGCCCTGCAATTAGATACCACCTACAAGGTCGAGTATCCACACTAACTTAGGGCATGTCTTCGACCATTTTTACACGAGGACAAAATATTATGGTACCTGGTTCTGGTAAGCCTTAAATTCTGGGGACTGTGCATACTTCAAGCAAACTGCAAGGCCCCCAATAGTGTGGTTATGAGGACCACCCTGCATAAAGAACTCATGCCTTTATCCCTTGTATATCAAAATTCAAAATAAATGTTGAATTTATAGAAAGATAAATAAATAATTAGGCATCAATAAGATTTGTTAAGATGAAACAAGTACAACTAACCTGTAAACCTGGAAAAACAGCATTGTTGATGGCAGTTTCTAAATCAACCCCGAGAACTGTATCTTTCTTGAAGAAGATCATCCCACCCCTTGGACCTCTTAAAGACTGAAAAGAAGAGTCACAAATATGTGAGATCATCCAAATGTGGATTACAACATAGGAAGCACATGATAAGGCTACTATGAAGTACTCGTGTTTTCGCATGTCTACGAGTCCATTCAAGTGTAATTTTTTTAACTTGGAAAAATCTAGTAAGATATAAATACATGAGTTTGAAGTTTGAACAATACCTTGTGTGTTGTTGTGGTCACAATATCGCAGTAGTCAAAGGGATTTGCAAGCACAGAAGCAGCAACAAGCCCACTTATGTGAGCCATATCCATCATAAGAAAAGCACCGACAGAATCCGCAATCTTCCCATGAACATTAGATGTAATTCATTAGTTGCCAAAGAAAAAACACAAGCTTGTAAATGATAATGAACTCCATATCCATTACACGAATTAAATTAATTTAGATAGAATGAATACATAAAATACTAACCTTCCTCATGCGAGGATAGTCAAAATCTCGAGGATAAGCACTAGCCCCGGCAATAATGAGTTTTGGTTTAAATCGGTCAGCTATTTCCTCAAGCTTGTCATAATCAACCAGACCTGCGTTTTGTTTTTTGTTACGAAAAAAAATCCAACATCATTCCAAAGAATAACAATTACACCCTTAACAAATCTGAAAGGCAACATAGTCTTATCTAGAAACAAAATGCAGCACCTGTGGATTCATTGAGTCGATACGACATGGACTCAAAATAAATGGATGTGCCTGATACCCGTCTTTTAGGAGTCATGAAACCATGAGACAAATGTCCTCCGTGAGACAAGTCCAAACCCTAAGATGCATGCACATGTTAGTAGCCAGTAGCCACCAATAAAAAGAGTAAACCAAACCCAAGAGGATAACTTACCATGAGACGATCATGAGGTTTAAGAATTGCGGTATAAACCTCAAAATTAGCAGGAGAACCAGATAATGGTTGAACATTAACACCCCACTTCTTTCCATCTAAGTGAAATGCATCAAGAGCCCTCCTTTGGCAAAGTGTTTCAAGCTCATCAATATGCTCATTTCCACCGTAGTACCTGATATGTACAATCAAACGATGAGCTACACCAAGAAAAATAATTTTAACGGAAGGTCCCTACTCAACTCAAATTACTCTGAGTCTTGGTATCTGTACCTTTTACCTGGTAATCCTTCTGAATACTTGTTCGTGAGACATGAGCCAACTGCCTCCATCACTGCCCGATAAGTAAAATTTTCTGAGGCAATAAGCTCAAGACTCTTGAACTGTCGCTGCTTCTCCATATCAATAATAGCACGCACCTCAGGGTCAGCCTCACTTAACCCATTGTCTACAAAACTGCTTCCATTACCTGTAAATCAAAAAATACAATTCATGAACAAGTCAGACATAATTCCTGCTACTAACCAATGATTCCTTTCATAATACATCAGAAGTTGGGAAAATACAGCCGGAACATATGGTTCTATTAAAGATGTGTATTCATAAGGATGGTTTTGTCATAGAACCGAGTAATGAAATTTTTTAGTTATACCAAGTCGATATTCATTCTCATAGGATTCATACAGCTGACTGCACTTAATGGGATAAGGCTTTGTTGTTGCTGTCGTTGTTGTTATACTAAGTAGATACTAAGAAAACTTCAAAAATAAATACACAGAGCACCAAATCCAAGCAATATAATGGAATACCATTCTGGCAGATGCTAAACAACATGATGGTCTTTTAAATTTTTGTATTTCTTAAGAGCAACTGAAATCAAAATTAAATTATAACACCATAGAATTTAAAAAACCAGAACTATTCCTGCCACAGACTTCTCAGAACAGAAATTTAACATGCATTTTAATAATATTTACAAATGGAACCATAAATAAATAGAAGGTACTGAGATCAGTTCAAAGTTTGGAGTATAACTACCGCCAATTTCAGGCATAGGCACAGAGACAGAAGAGGACGGCCTTCCAGCAACCAAACTTCCTTCAATGTAAGAAGAAGATCTAACGGGCTTCACACAATTGAGCTTTAGTTGATGTGAAAATCCACTACCGGTAAGCCCCTTGTTTGGAAAAATTGTTCCTTTGGTCCAAGTGGGCTGTTGGAGAGAACCCATCAATGCAGCTCCACTACAAGCCTGCATCTTTGCTTCCAAATACTATACCTTACAAGCTTCCTACAGATATTGCAGAAAATTCTGGGCAGTGAGCACAACTTTAACATACACATGATACAAATACATACATATATATTACATACATGCATACTGGCATGCTCATAGACTGATATAATCTTATCAACAAAAGTTATATACAAGAGTTCCAAATTTGTAATTAGAGAGTATAAAATTGTTTTCAAAAAATAGTTAACGTAATGGATAAATCACCCAACATACATTATTTCACTCCTTAAACTTATTTTAACACATGATGGCTACTGCCAATTCAAAAAGGAACTGTTTCCCTACGCTGATGAAACACTTAAACTCGTTGATAATTGCTACTTTTAAGACTGTCACATTGATCATTTCTATTCATCTTCATAATTTACTTGACAGACGGGACATTAAAAAGACTATTTTGTTAGTCATCTCCCCAATACAAATCCAACGGTATTATGACACGCACGAGTGAATTTCATTGACAAGCAGGAAACAAAAAAAAATCAAGAAAACAAAAGCCTACTCGAGGGAGAGTAACAAGCCTTACACGTCAAAATGCACACTTATACATCAGCAAAACTCAAAATAAAAATATTAAAAAAATAAAATATAATAAAATTAAAAAAAAACAACAACAACAACAACAAATAACAAACAACCGTGGAATCGAAAAACAATATAAAGCTAGTTTAAGTTGTGGTTTACTAAAGCAACAAATCACACCAACCATGTCAGTCAGTCAAATAAACAAGTCAGTTTATCGATCCTGTTACTTTTAGGGAAGTTGCTGAAATATGAACCTATACATGCACAGAGTATTAACTGAAACAATTAATTGACTCCTATAAGTTAATTGATTCCCAAAAACATAATTAGGAGATTAAGTAAAACCCTAATTTTAAGGAAGAAGAAGAAGGACTTACAGAGTGAGAGCAGAGGAGGAGGCCGGACTGCTGCCGGGTAGGGATGTCGAGACTGTTTTGGCAAATCGAGTAAAGTAGGTTTTTGTTTTTATTTGACCAAAAAAAAAATCAAGTGCTTGACCAAAATATAAAGTATGCGCTTTAGTGGGCCGGACGGGGTTCAGCCTACGAACTCAGATTTTGGGCTGGGCCCGTACTTTACAGGGGGCCCCACCTCAACAACCGCCACTAACGACCGCCAGCAGCTGTAGAAATAAATTATATTTATATGTTCTCCTCCAACTCCTCTATCCAGATTCCAGGTGCCCATTGATTTACAGCGGTGGCGGAATCAGGTTCCTTCTCTTTTTCACTCACCCACTTCATTTCTTATTTACTATTTCTGTTTTCTTTATATATTTATTTATAATTTAGGGTTTAGTTATTTTTCATGATGTTTGATATATTCGTGTACAAATTAAGACTTAAGACTACTAGCTGAAGAAGAAGGGAAATAGGGGGGAGAGAGAGAGAGAGAGTGTGTGTGTGTGTGTGTGTGTGTGTTTATTGTCTTGAGATTTTGAGTTTGAAATTCTTTCAAGCGGTTGACAAAGATATAGTCAGATATGATATTTTCTTTTCTTTTTTTGGTTTCATATCTGACCTTTTTAAGTAAAGGAGAAGTTAAGTTGTCATCTCTCATTTTTTTTTTTTTTTTATTTCATGAATTAAAACTTCATTCATTTTCAATTTTTGATCAAAGATCCTTTGGTTTCTATCCACGCCATAGTTTCAATGATTATAAATTTACATGCCAGCATAATTGAATTTTATAATTAAAATTTTTATAAAAGGGTACAAATTATAAATAGGAATATATGAAAAAAAAAATACTAAAAAGATATATTTAAAAATGATTAATAAGTTTTTCATTTTTAAAATTTACATATGATGACGTGTAAATAATTTTAATATTCAAATAATGACATGAAGATTAGTCAAGAGACCTTGATCAAAAATGAAAAAGAAATAAGGTTTCAATTAATGAGAAAGAAAAATGAGGGATGTGAACCTAATTTATCTATGAAATGGGGAGTTATAAATCTCATAATTTGTAACTTTCATAAAAAAAATGAAAATAGAAATGTATTACATTAATATTAATATGCTGAAGTCGTCAAAATCAAAGAACTTTGATTAAAAACTAAAAACAGGTAAGGTTTTAGTCAAAGAACAGCGGTTATTAAAACAAAAAAAAAAAGCAAAAAAAAGCAAAAAAAAAAGGTCAAAGAAGAGTGGTGGGTAGGGACAGCATCTAAAGGCTCCCTTAAGTAAATACTTGTACCGTAACCAAGTCTAGTTGGGTTTCATTGAAACTTGTCAGTTTTAGTTTGAGTTGGGGGTTGAGCCTTTCATTAGGGCAATTGCCAGTACATATGATACGATTTTTGTTTTAGCAATTTCCATTACATCAAAACAAACATATTAAAATCAGTACCAATCCTGTCATCGCTTGCCGTTTTGTACTTGTATTCAACTTAGTCAGAACCGTCACCTCAGAAGAAAAAAATCCAATGCTGAGGCCTCTTTATGTGCTGTGGAAAGTGGCTTCCGTTGATGAAAAAGGATCATCTGTATTTGTAGTTACTCATCTGTTCTGTTACAACATCCTCGATCGATGCAAATAAAATTCTCTTTTTATGATTTTAAACTCAAGTAGAAAAAGAACATCTACGTCTTTCCCTCCTTGTCTGCCCTTTTGGTATTAGGATCAGTCATTAGGAGAAAGAAACCATTCAACTTAGAAAGCATGCTAACAAGATATTGATGTCATGTTTGATCTTTGTTTCTTGTTAGATATTTGTATATTTGTATCCTGGTATTTTGTATGAGATTTTCACTTCATTTTCCATTAATGTTGAAGGTTGAAGGTAGACAGGATATCCCTTTATATCTTCTACTGCTCGTCCTTCCGCTTTTTCTCTTTCGTTTCTAAGATTCGCGTCTTTGTTTGGGTCATTGGGCGCATTTCCCGAATCAATTGGCCATGGACAAATGAATGGAGCAACTGCCCATTTTATTGTAAGGTAGCATACAGTTGCAAGCACATGCACATGGTTCGTTAACCATAGACGGGTCACTTTTGGCTTTGGGTTAACAATTTGACCATTTGATTGTGAGGTAGTATGGAAGCACATAGTTCATGAACCATGGATGAGTCACTTTTGGCTTTGGGTTAGTATATAAGTGGCTGTTCAGATATGACCAGCCTTATGTTGTAGCAATGTGGATTTGATAAGTCAGAGTTGCGGTCGAGGTGTTTGGGTGAGACCTGTGGGCGACTTGGGTAATCATATGATAAAGTACATTGTACAAACCGCCTTAAAATGAAGGGTATTTGCTAGAAATGTCGATTGTCATGTTTTTAAAATCCTTTAAAGTTGATCCATATGAAATTTTTTGTATATTTTGATATAGTAAATGTCTTCTTATTTAAAGCGGAAGAAAGACAAAAGAAGAAATTTAACTGGAGGAAACTAGAATAAAATCAACTTCAATGAGATGGAAGTTGCAATTGCGGGTTTGGTTTCCACTTACAACAAATGGTTATTAAGTAATTTTTGTTGACATGGCAGGTCAGAGTGCTTGCATTTAGAAATTAGAAGAAATAATCCTGTTCGTTAGTTGGAGAATTAGAATCTTGAGGCATGGAAACTGAGATGGTAGTGCATGAAGGCGGGTGCCACTGCAAGAATGTAAGGTGGCAAGTGAAGGCACCTAGCAGTGTTGTGGCTTGGAGTTGCAACTGCTCGAATTGCTCTATGAGGAGTAACACCCATTTCATTGTCCCTGCTGAAAGATTTCAACTTTTGAGTGATTCTGAGCAGTTTCTTACAACTTACAGCTTCGGTACTCATATAGCAAAGCACACATTCTGTAAAGTTTGTGGGATAACTTCGTTCTATCATCCACGCTCAAACCCTGATGGGGTCGCCATCACATTTAGGTGTGTTGATCCTGGAACACTCGCCCACATTGAGATTAAGTATTACGACGGGCAAAATTGGGAAGCCTCTTACAGTCAAACAGGCATTGCGTCGCAGTCAAAAGTGCAGACTCCGCAAGATATGGGTTGACTTATGTTGTGTGATTTCGAAGTGTTAATCAAAGTCGTCTGGCGTTTCGGCCCTGTGGGGATTTTTACAATGTTTATGTGGATTGTGGAATGCATCATTCTATGTTGGCTTCTGTCTTGTGTTGTTTTTTGTCTCCCCTTTTGTTTTGTTCTTCTGTTTCTTTTGTTTAGGCCAAACTATAATTTTGGTCCTTGTAATTGTATTGAACGTCCACTTTTGTCCTTGTAGCTTCAAATGTTGCAAATGATTGTCAAAAGCTTCCGAACAGTCTCGTGGCCGATTACGAATCAATACTGATATTGTTTCTAATTTGAGATATGTTAAGAGAAATCTTTCAAAAATGAGATTCTATGTGAACTCTGTCTAATATGTGCACAATTTTAGACAAAATGTTTTGATGCAATTAGCAATGAAATCATTGAGAATAAGGAGGATTTAATTTCATCGTGCCCTCTTTATGTGAGGCCACTCTTTTGAGACAACACTTTAGTAACCCTTGGTTTGGGTTTCAGTTGTTTAGGGGTTTCAATTTGTTGCCCAATTCGAGTTCAAGCGGGAACAAAGGATTGGCTCAAAAATCATGTCAAATTTAGAGATAATTCAGCAAACTAATGAATATCGATATGATCTTCAACTTAATCACATATACAATCTAATATGTGTGAGGTTTATAAAAAGTCTTGATGTAAGTACATTACATACTTCAACAAAGATATCAAAGGAGAGCTCGGTTTCATTCGGTTTCACTTTTTGCCAAAATTGAAATTACTATTCGGTTCAGTTCGATTTGTTTGTTTTGCAATTTGTTAAGGAGAAACACAATAATCTAGGGAGTAATGTTTTCAACGTATTTGAGCCTAAAGTTGGATTTACTTATCATTGGATTGAAATTAGACTAATAGTTAACTTGAAATTGGATTTGAAAAATAAATAACCAACATAAATAAAAAATTATATCTTATTCAGTTCGATTCGGTCCGGTATTAAAACCATTGAAACCAAACCAATAATTTTTTGTTTGGTTCGATTTTCATTTTTTTTTTTCAATTCGGTATTCTACCCAATTTCTTTCTGTTTTCGTTTTTTGGAGCCCACCTCTAAAAGAGATGCAAGTACTACTTGTTGAACAAGCCTACAAATGTATATTTTGTTACACGCATATTATATATTCTTTTTTTTTTTTTTTTTGTCAAACATATAATATATTAATTTGACGGTGGAAATATTAAACTCAAAAGTTGCCTTGCAGAAAAAGTCAAGAGTGAGCGTGGATTACCAATACCAATACCACCCAATCCACTGGACCATATCCATAGTTTCGCACCCCCACCAGTCGGTCAGCTCAAAAGTCGATCAATCCATAAAACCATTTCCCTAATTTTCTTCCTCCCCATCGTAATCTTTCAGTTCATATCAGAAATAAACGAAAACAAAAATGTCGTCTGCAGTTGAATTGCTGCCCAAAGAATACGGCTATGTAGTTCTCGCCGTCGTTCTCTACACCTTTCTCAATTTCTGGATGGCTGCCCAAGTTGGCGGGGCCAGAAAACGGTATGCGTAAATCCTTCTCTGTTTCCTCGTACCTACTTGAGTTCCGTCGAGTTGGTTAAAACAGTGCGCTCCACTTATGTCTCCTCCTTTCGTTCATGTAGTTTAGATGAATTTAGCGTAATTATCGTTTGATTTCCGTATATTTTTGTTTAATTATGTGATTAATTGATTGGAATTGGACAACGACCGCCGCAGGTACAAGGTGCCATATCCGACTATGTATGCGTCGGAATCGGAGAACAAAGATGCGAACGTGTTTAACTGTGTTCAGAGAGGGCATCAGAACTCTCTCGAAATGATGCCTATGTTCTTTGTGCTTCTGGTTTTGGGAGGTCTTAAGCATCCTTGCATCTCCGCCGCCCTTGGCTTCTTCTTTGCTTTTACTCGCTACTTCTACTTCAAAGGCTACGCCACCGGTGACCCCATGAACCGCCTCGCCATCGGGTATATATGCCCTCTTCTTTCCACTAATTTACAATCTTGCCAATTATCCTAGCTAATTTAATGATACATCAATATATATAGGTTGTTATTTGCATTTTAAAATAATCGTGCATTTGTTTTTTTTTTTTTTTTTCTTTTGAATTTTATATATATATATATATATAGAGAAATTTGAGATGAGAAGAGTATTGATCAACTAATAGGATCTTTTGGGTAGGATTGTGACTTGAATGATACGTTATGAGATAATATCTATAGAGCGACAATACATTCTATTTTTTATAATATCGTATGTACGATAAATATAGACCAAATGTACTTTCCTATTAATAAGATTTTACTTAACAATTCTACAAATTGTTTTGTGACCGGTGGAACCGTAACATGTCAGACTTGATTTACTCTTTTTTATTGCAATGACAGGAAATACGGGTTTTTGGCTATATTCGGGCTTATAGGGTGCACGATTTCGTTTGGGGTCGGTCTTCTTCTTCGAGGATAAAGAAAAGCCGAACAAAGCCCTCATCTCGTACTCTCATGGCCGTGGAGGGCTTGCTCGCTCTTGCTATCTCATGTGCTCTGCTAGAAGGTCCTAGGGTTTTCCTTTTGTTTGTAGTATTGGCTTTTGAATAAGAAAGTGCAAGAGATAGGAAGGAAATAGTGTGTGTTGCGTTTTGTACGTCTACTTTTGATGTCTTTATGTAATTGTAAACGTTTATGTATGAATTACACGAGTTTGTAAACATTAGGTTAATTTTGCTTTAGTTGGTTAGGAATGTATGTCCACGGTTTGCAGTCGAGTTTGAATCACCCGCTAACAAGCGAGAATAGTTTATAACTAGACCTTGTCAATAGTTTATAACAAGGCCAATCTTAAAATTCACGACCATCAAATCCAATTGATTGCTTTTTGTTTTATATGAAAGACCAAATTTATTAAAATAAACAAACAGTATCCAACAAGACCAAGACCAATACAAGGCAAGGCCAGCAGGCGAGACCCAGAAACAAGAAGGAAAACAAACAAAGCATGCACCCAGCTGGGGAATAATCTGGTGACCATAACAGTTGTCAATTAGTGATAATTAACAATGGTTAGTACACAAAATGATATTAATGTACCGTCTTGTTCCTGAGATATGTGCTCAAACCATTCATTATACATTGTCTCGTGTAATGGCAGATTGAAGAATTTTGTTATCCCAAGGGCGAGATGAAACGTGCATATACCACATTGGCAAAACTTTGAGGCATTTTGTCAAGCATATTGTCCTCATAAAATTTGCGCTCATGGAGAATAACAAAGGACTTTTGGACAATTTATTGTGTAACGTTAGTGGTGAGCGGGGGCAATTGCATGCATTGGCTCCTATAGTCCTATGTGGATCCGTCAATAGCCTCATATACAAGCTGACCCAAACACAATTGGTGCCAAACTCTCTAACCCTTAGCGGTGGTGAAGTCATAAAATGGGTTACCCCAGCACCACTCTAGTCTCTTGCTAGTAATCTTTAAACCTAAGGGGTGAGTTTCTAGCTCCATGTCATCAACAATCCACAAATCAAGTGTGTACGTATTTTCACAGAGTTGTTAACTCCTCTCGCCTTTTCTTGTTACAAGCGATATTGGAGAGGCGAACATGGAACACAGGGTGTCAAGTAGATGCTCTTTTTGACCTCTTCAATTTGATTTTTTTTTTTTATCATTGTAAGGGAAGTCATTTTTTTTCTTTTCTTTCAATTGAGAACTCCCTTTCCAATTGCATCCAGGATTGGTTTTGAAAAACTGTGATTTGGTTGGATCAAACTCATCTTCACCGATATAGATAGAATTGCAAGAGATCATTTGTCAAAGAGTAAACTCTTTGACTGCTTCCATGCAGTAGCTGATAAATCTTACCAGATAACACTGTTTTAGCCAACTTAGCCTCACCCACGTCGTTCATGGTTTTCATATTTCGTAACACAAATGGAATGCAAAATCCCAAAGTATAAATGCAAATAGTTGTACACAAAAAATCCTAATACATTTCATTTGAAGTAATGTGAAACAAAAGCCTAAAAGTAGTTTTATTGGAAGTACTTCCAATGTGCCAGAAGCTCTGGCCAAACAGGGCCTCAAAACAACCCAATAAACATAACAGGAGAAATAAATGTGAATTTGCGACTTTATTCGAATAACATAAAACCATCCTCACTTCTTCAGGAGCAATGAACTGCATTGTGCCATTATCTTTGAAGCTCTTGTGATCGAATCAGTCATATAGAAATTCTCGATAGCAGTCCCAAATGGGGTCGAATCCACCTTCTGAGTGGACTCAGGCTTAATCGATGATGGAAAGGTAGCTGGCTCTCTCTCGTCTACTTGCAAAATGTTTGGTGCCACTGTCCTAATCCGGGATCGGATGGCCCCAAGTGTATCATATGGCAGCCGTACACCTGCCACCTCAGATAGAGCCCGAATAATCTTCCAGTCATCCCTGGCATCACCGACAGTCGGAACTGCAGGTACTGTTTGCTGAGAGCACCCTTCAGTGTTTACATATGTCCCTTCCTTTTCACTGAATGCTGCCGCAGGAAGGATGACATTGGCACGATACACACCCTGGTCCCCATGATGCCCTTGATAAACCACAAATGCATCACTTGGAACCTTCTCCAAGCTGATATCATCAGCGCCCATCAGGTAAACAAACTTTGCAGACTCGATGCTGTTTCCAGATTCTGGCACAAGTCCAAGGTCAAGTGCTGCAGCCTGGGCGGCTTTGAGAAGCAGTACATTGAATCCATTCCAATCAGGCCTTACAACATTAGCGTATTTTCCAATGGCTTCAACAGCAGAAAAAATTGCATCCTTGTCTTTCCTCTCAAAGACCCCAGCACCGACAATGATAGCAGGGTTTTTGGCATTTGCGAGGACTGAGGAAAATGGGTGACGACGCTCAGCAATTTCTTGAAGTGTCTGAGGGCCTGTGCCAAGATGCTCATGTTCGTAGTTGAAATCAGCTGGAGGGCCAACATACCCAACCTTGGCATGGGTAGCTTGCACAGTCTTCCGGATTCTAGCATTTACGATAGCAGCTTCTACCCTTGGCTGGTAAATATAATATGACAGTATGAATTAAAACACAAAACACAATGAATCCACTGATGATCAAAGACCCCACTAGTCCCTACCTATCCATCCACTAATCCTTAGCATGTCATACAAACGTGTAAGAGGCAGGTGGAAATCACATAAACTGGACCGCAAAAATTATGATTAGATGACCATAAACATACCTGGGTACCAACCAACAGAAAAGCATCTGCTTTCTCCAGACCAGCGATGCTAGTATTCAGAATATATCCAGATCGAAGATCAGCGTCACAGTTTGAACCATTTGCTTCACACCAGACATTGTTTGACCCCATTTTATTTAAGAAGTCCTTCAGTGCCATCATGGACTCAGCATCAGATAGCTGGCCAGCAACCCCAACAATCTCCTCTGGTTTAACTTGATGAGCCATCTCGGCAACTACAGCGAGGGCATCCCGCCAGCTCACAGGCTTAAAGCGCCCATCAGCACCACGAATCATAGGGTCATTTAACCTCTGCCTCTTCAGACCATCATAACAGAAACGAGTCTTGTCTGATATCCATTCTTCATTTATGTCCTGCACGAGGTAGTAAGCAAATACATTATACAAAGGAAGTATTACTATAAAAGGGTGGATGATAACACCCGTATGTTTTACAATTCAGTGTCTATTAATATGTGGCATATGTGGTGCTAGAGCGCTCAAGTAGACTGGCAAATTTTATGACGTGCATGTAATTAACATCCAATAGGAACTCAAATGGTGTTAAAGAAGAATTCAATAACATGGTGTAACTTGCAGATTTAAAAAGCATCAACACTCATCAACACTGATGGCAAACTTAAAAGAAAAATATATGGACTCACGACAGTTGAGATAGATTCAGAACAACTGAGACCGAATCAAAACATGACAGGAGCAGGCATTCAAGTTTAACACTAAAAGACCGGACTAGGATAAATTTCTTGACTCGGACATAAGATTAGGTTGCAATTAAAGTGTTTTGGGTAGTCCAAATGTAGCTCCTATGAATCATCAGGACTCAAGAAGACAATTAGTCAAAAGATCAAAAACAAGAAGTTCATGGCTGAGAAGTAGGCCTGTCACTAACAGTCAGGTCAATCAACCAACCCACAAACAAACAAACAAACAAACAAAAAGACAAGGCCAACCCTGCTTTTTGGACCGCCGATCTGAAAAAGTGCAACCAATTGAAATCTCCAATAGTGCAAAGAGCACAGGCTCCTAGTGAACAACTACATTACAATTAAAATAAAATTGCAGAGAAAGAACCATCTCTCAAATACAGAAGCAAACCCTCTTAGAATTACATGCTCAAAACTCACTGTATTACTTTCCACCAAAATAATCCGATACTAGCCATCACAGATCTTCTCAGTAACATACCCTTGTCCCACCCATAAATATATGCATACTGAGGCAAATATATAGTACAAAACAGATGGTTAACGCTAACACAAGTGTTAACACTCCAGTTAGTGATAATCCATGCTAGCACCAGTGACTTAGGTGGGGCTTTTGGCCTCCAACATCCATCTCCTATCCGCCCTAGACAAGACCAGCACTACACCCATTAATCAAGTTAATAAGGACAATAGCTCCTGAAAATCCACAGCATTCAAATTCCAATGAAACCCAAATTTCTCGCTGAAAGGAAGATGACAGGAACTAAAGCACGCCTATCATGGAAAAGAAATGAGAGTAATGATCTGTACAGTCTAGGAATAGAAAGGCATATGCAGAGAAAGAATTATCTCTAACAAATGCAAACCCTCTCACAGAGATAATCACATTCTCAAATTCATCATATTAGTTTCCACCAAAATAACCCAGATAATAGACATCACACAACTTCTCAATACCATACCCTCCTCCCACCCAAATACATATGCTATGTCTAGTACAAAAACAGATGGTTAATGCTAACACAAGTGTTAACACTCCAGTGAGTGGTAAACCACGCTAACACCTATGCCTTAGGCGGTACTTTCGGCCTCCAACATCCATCTCCCCCATCCACCCTGGACAAGACCAGCACTGCACCCATTGACCAAGTTAATAAGGACAACACCTCCCGAACATCCAGAGCATTCAAATTCCTATGAAACCCAAAATTCTCGCTCAAAGGAAGATGACAGGAACTAAAGCACATGGAAAAGATATGAGAATGATAATCTGTACAGTCTAGGAAAAGAAAGGCATATGCATTAAACCCCACCCACCTCTCTTATCAAAACGTCACCCTTTCCCCATTACCCACTGAACCTGGCAGCAAGAATAAAACAAATTAATGCCTTGAATAATGTCTTCCCATGAGCTTTTCTGGAGCCTAGTGACAATATTTAAGTCCCAAACATCTACATGCAGCCCATATTGAAGTCCCCAAAGAGTTGAGGCCCCTTTGTTTGAGATGTTTATCCTTAATTTTCACCTTCTCATTCACCCTTCACAACAATCGAGCTTTAGGGCCCAACCCCTCCATTGAGCCTCATATTTGGAGAGCCCCAATCTTCTTATGGAACCCACTGCTTTATAAGGTTTTCAAGGTGAAGGGTGAGGGGCCACTTAGTACTACGGTCTAGTGGTATTCCTCTTCACTTGTAAGTGAAAGGTCTTAGGTTCGATTCTCACCAAAGGCGAATTTGAACCAAATTATTGCAAGCCTATTGTGAGGCTTAGCCCACTCCCCCACCCCCTTAGTGTAGATAGTATCGTTTGTTCATAAAATAAAATAAAAAGGTGAAGGATGAGGGAAGCAAGTGAAGTTTGACTTGTCAACTTCCAGATGAATAAAACAAACGATCCAATTAACAGGAATAAAAGAAATAATTAATGATTCATCAATTATCAGAACTGTTTTATCTCAGCTACCTTGGCACTTGAATTTATACATATTTGAGAAATTAAAAATGACTAATATCAGCCCTTACATCATACGTTAAAAATCTTAGTCTATGCAAGTTGTAAGTTTTGAAGTTTAGTGTAATCATCATTGGCATATATTAGTAATGCAGAAACCTAGTCTCAGAGATAACAATCATCAAAAGTAGTCTAATAAAATCTACCTCATTTAATCGTGGGACAATGCGCAAGACCTCTGGACCTCGGCTATCAATTCGAATGTTGGATCCAACAGCATCAGTAACATCAATGGTCTCTGTTCCCTTTAATTCCCAATTTCGAGCTTTAAATGCAAACGGTTTTGAGGTTAGGGCTCCCACTGGACAGATATCTATCACATTTCCGGAAAGCTCACTTGTCATAAGTTTTTCGACGTAAGTCCCAATTTCCTCTCCGCTGCCACGACCTAACATGCCAAGGTCCTGAACCCCCGCAACCTCAGTTGCAAATCTGACACACCTGTTCAACCAAACGCACTTTCAATATCAGAAGCTTGCAACTACAAATAAAACAAGAGCTCTATCCAAGTCGATGAATGATGCAACTGTTTTCTGATATATCAAAAATTTATTATAAGAAGGTGATAAACTTAAACCCTATCAACGATGTGATGTACGTTGTTAATTTGAAAACTTACTCTACCTAGAGAAAACATCATGGACTACATGATTTCCAAATGTCATAACTCACTGTCAGATGCAATACACTAGGGATAGACTAGCAACTCTTAGAAATTGTGTACATTTAAAGGTAAAACTACGACAATATTTAGCATCACCAAAAATACACTAACACCAAACAACAAAAAGATCAATCATTCAGTAACTCACTGTCGAATGCAATAGACTAGGGATAGACTAACAACTCTTACAGATTGTGTACTTTTAGAGGTAAAACTGCGACAATATTTAGCATCACTAAAAATACATAACACCAAACAACAAATAGATTGATCATTCAGTAACTCACTGTCGAACACAAAACACTACAAATAGACTACCAACACTTAGAGATTGTGTACTTTTAGAGGTAAAACTACGACAATATTTAGCATCAAAAATGTGTATTTTTTTAGAATAAAAAAGATTACACTAGAAGAAAATTTTACCAAAAAGTCATACAGTTCACTAGAACTGTAGTGAATATTTGGTGTATAAGAAGAGGTAATGCTGGATTCTGACCTTGTACATTGAATACACCGAGTCATTACAGTCTTCACCAAAGGACCAAGATTCTTATCAACTACGGATCTCTTCACCTCAGTAAAACGGCCGCGATCAGATCCAAATGCCATAGACTGATCCTGCAGATCACATTCTCCTCCCTGATCGCAAATTGGACAATCCAAGGGATGATTCATCAGCAGAAACTCCATCACCCCTTCTCGAGCCTTCTTTGCTATTGGTGTATCGGTCTTAATTTTCATGCCTAAGAAGAAGCTTTTGTCAAAAAATCATAATTTTATGCACCAAAAGATAAAGTAAAATTTAATTCTACTGTAACCACAACCAAATTATGCCATAGCCAAACAATGTATTGCTCAACTAACAAAATATCATATCAAAATCAAAATGTTACTGTGAATCCAAAAACAATAATCAGAACCTCGCAAAATTGTGCACTACCGAAAATCCTAATGTGAAATAGAATCATAATTCACACTTCTACGGAGGAAACATGTAACCCCAATGGTCAATTAAGTTATACACTAAAGAGATTAGGAATTCGACAAACAGAAAACCCCGAAAGCAAGTCCGAAAATCGGAACTTTGAAGCAACAAACAGCTAACACAAGCTGAAAAAGGAGGTTAGAGGGGAACCTAACCAGGCATGGCAGGCATGGCACAGGAGGCGACGGGCTTCGGGGACTTCTCAACCTCAACAAGGCACATACGGCAGTTACCGGCAATCGACAACCGGCTATGGTAGCAGAATCTAGGGATGTCAACGCCGGCGACCTCACAGGCCTGCAACACAGTAAATCCCTTGGGGATTTTGACGGGGTATCCATCGACAAAGACCTCGATGGCATCTTCGGGATTCGGGAAGTGGACACGGGCCCCGCCCACAGGGGTTCGAGGAGGGAGATCCGCGGGGGGGTCGGGCTGGGCCGCCGCGGCTGATTGGTCGGCGTTCTGGAGCTCCGGCGTGGTTGAGACCGCCCTGTGGAAGGAGAAGAAGGGTCTGGGGTTCTGAGAGCTGAGGAGCCTTGACGCTGTGGGCCTCAGGGCCCTCGAAGCAAGCGATCCCAACCCCATTGCTGTCGATGATGGCTCGCACTCGCAATGTGTTCGATTTTGCTGCTTTCAGAAGCTCTGTGAGCTATATGAAGACGGAGAGAAAATTAGAAATGGAAGGTGTGGTCGGTGCGTTGCGACGTTGGAAGTGGAAACTCTTTCCCAGATTGATTAACGAAAGAAGAGGCCCATTGAGAGCCCATTTGTTTTGTAGAACCCAAAGGAGGCATACGCACTTTACTTGCACGGAAATTCCATACAAGGCAACAGAAGAATCTAGCGGTTGGATAAAGAATTTTTTGGAGGTGTATTCAATTGGAATTTTGAGGGATTTTAATTATTTTAATGAATTTAGGAGGATTCAATTAGGATTTTAAATGATTATCTGAAATTCAATGTGTATTCTATTAGGATTTTAACATGGTTTATTAAAATTCTTAGAAATCTAAGTGTATTCAATTAAGAGTTTAAAGAAGTTTATAACAATCTAGGTGTATTCAATTAAAATTTGATTTAGAATAATTTGAAAAAGTTGAGGAACCAAAGGGAATTGAAGAGATTTTTTAGTGTATTTTATGCATCTACAAATCTCACATCTCGTATAAGATTTTGAATTAATTGAGTTAAAATTTGGTGCATTTTGATCCAAGTCCACAATATTCAGCTTTTTTCAAATTAAGTCCAAAACATGTGAGGTAGATTATAAACAAAAACCTATTATACAGATAAATAAACAAAAGTATTGTCTACCTACATATATACCTATGATATAGGAAGGCAAATACTTTATACCTAGGAAGCAAATATACTCTACAAACTATGAGCAAAAACCTGTGGTAGAGGTTGATAAACATTTAATTTGAGATGAATTATCAAAAACAAGTGATATAGGTAGATAAGTTACTATTAATCTATAATACATAGAGTATATAATAGGGTAGATTGATTAAAATAAATAGATAAATAAATAATCCTATAATACAGGTAGATAAAACACCAACGAAACCAAGTGTGACATCTGGATCACTTTCCCACACCATACCTTGCATATGAGCCACACTGTTTGCTTCACTTTAACCATGATTAAGGAAAAGGATCATCTTTGGATCCCTTTCCATCTGAGCCTACTGACCACATAATCCTGACCCTTGAAATTTGATCCAATGGTTAAAAATAGGGGGTCCCATTAAAAGTTATAATAACTTTAAATGTTGGATTAAATTTCAAAGGCCATGATTAAAACGGACACAAGAAATTAAATGCAAAAAAGGTCATGCATCATTCAAAACAGCACCCAGGTAAAAGAATCATCATCAAATTATTGTAGAGCAGCAAGTACTATGATAATATGAATGAGTTTCTCTAAAAAAAGTCATTGTGCAATCATCTGCAACTCATGGTGGAGCAACAGTGTAGCCTTCCATGCTGTAATAACTTTAAGCATAAATGGGGATGATACTCTCACTTGATGCCCAGCAGCAGACGCAATACTCACCTTCTCATCCTTCATAATCAGCCCAAAATCACCCAACCTATAATTCCTACAAGAGAGTTTTAAGTTATTAACGAATTAGTTCAAATCCTATAATTATGGAATCATGTCCAACTATTAATCCTAAAGTTAAGGAATTATGTGTATTTACATATATAATAATTTATAATTAAGGAATCCCGTCTAACTATTAATCCTAAAGTTGAGGATAGCACCAGTGTTGATGAGCAGACTCAACATGGTGAGGATGGCCCTGGAAATGCCGAGGATGGCGGTGATGGTAATGGAGGCGAGACACAACATGATATTATCAAGAGTTCGACCTTAGATAAGGATGATTCGTAGTGCCTTCACTTCCTACATGCATTAGTTTGTTGCATAGATGTTGTGTGTTAAGTTAGGTGCCTGAGGGCTTTTTTGTGTATAGATCTTTACGACATTGCACCATTTATTTTGATGTTAAGTGCTAAGTATTTGCACTATCATTTATAAATGCTTGGCTATGTTTGAATAGATCCTCTGTTTGGATACAACCCATGAGTTGAGTATAATTGAATGAATACACTTTGAAGATGTTTGTTTACTTGCATAGTCTTGTTGACAGATGCTTAGACTTTATTTCATGTTGAAAGCATTGATGTTGAAGCTTCGAACTCGAGTATGCGGTGTCATTTAAGTTGAGGTTTTGAGTTACAATTTTATTAGGTCGGTGTGAGACCAAGTGTTTCGGTGCTAGGAATGTAAAAGAGTTTGGATGAAGTTGTCTGAATCACCTTTTTATTAAGTTCGTGTGAAATGGTCTTCCTTACAAAGGATGTCAATTGGTTATCGCTCAACACTTATATAATGTGAGTCTATCTGTAATAGTACTTTATGTGATCAGTGTTCCATGGATGGCTAAGGGTCTTGCCATTGGAACTTTTGAGCTTGTAGGAGCCAAGGCAACTGATGCCAACAACTTCAAATGGTCCATCCCAATTTAGACTAAGTGTGCCTTCGCTCGGGACTCTGTCACATAGTAGTCTTTTCTTCAATACCCAGTTCCCCATTTTGAAAGAGCGAGGTTTGACCGTAGAGTCATAGTAGTTGGAGACATGCTGCTTGTAAACGATGTTCCTCAAGTAAGCTTGGTCCCTATGTTCCTCGACTAGATCTAAGTTAAGGGTGAGTTGTTTGTCATTTTCACTTTGCATGTAGTTCTTAACTCGATATGTTGCTTGCTCAAACTTAACTGGGATAATTGCCTCTGTACCAAAGGCAAGTGAGAATGGAGTTTCTCATGTTGAAGTCTGATACGAAGTTCGATATGACCAAAAAACCTAGGGTACAAGTTCTGGCCAACAACATTTAGCCTTGTCTAAGCTGGTCTTCAAGGTGCGTTTGATTATCTTGTTAATAGCCTCAACTTGTCCATTAGCCTGGGGATGAGCTGAGGGGGGCGAAACATAAGTTGATGTTGAACTTAAAGCAGAAAATCCTGAACTTCTTGTTGTCAAACTGTCGTCTATTGTCAGTGACAATTGTATTGGGAATGCTGAATCAGCAAATGATGTTCTTCCATACAAAGGCTTCTATCTTTGCCTCAATAATGGTTGCCAAGGGTTTTACTGCGGCCCACTTTGTGAAGTAGTCAACTGCAACGATCGCATAATGACTTGCGCTTCCCCATAAGCATTAGGCCAAGGGCCAAGGGCTGATCATAGGAGTGAGAGACTCAGAAAGGGAATGAGGAATAGTTGCATAGCTTTGACATTTGTCACATAAGCGAGATATTTTGATGGCATCTTGGTGAAATGTTGGCCAATAATATCCTTGGCGAAAAGCCTTGTGTGCTAGGGACTGAGATCTAGCATGATCTCCACATACTCCTTCATGTATCTCTCGAATGATAATTTCCCCCTCAACAGGTGTAAGACACCTTAAGTATTGCAGGGTAAAACCTAGCTTGTAGAGTTGGTCATTAATGATCATGTAGTGGGGAGACTTATATCGAAATTGCTTAGCTGTAAATTTATCATCTAAGGGATGCCATGAGCAAGGAATTTATAAATCAGAGTGATCCAATTATCCCCCTGTTGTAAGTTGCATACTTCCATGGTAATGGTGCTTGGTGCTACCAACAACTCAACATGAATGTTTCTTCCAACCTCGTCTTCCATTGTAGAGGCAAGGCGAGCCAAAGCGAGCTAAGGCATCTGCATGACTATTTGCTACTCGAGGGACCTGGGTGATTCAGAGAGAGGTGTACCACCAATGATAGAATATATCACGTTCACCTGGCGTTGGTTACGGTTATCCTTTGGAGTGTGAAGAAGAAATTGATCAATTTTCTCTTCGCGTGCCAAACCTTCAATATGGTCACACAGGGTGATACACTTCTCGCTGTCATGGTCATTATACTCGTGGTAACAGCAAAACATGCTCATGTTCTTCGTGGACTTATAATCTGGCTGCCTGGGCTTTGGCTTTGGTATCAAGTGGGTAAATAGTTGGGCATGTGGCATTTAAAGGTGTTTATATTTCATACCTGGGGTAGGGTCTGTCTTAACCTATACTTGGCCCATTGCATTGACTGCTTGAGGGCTGGCATTATTGTAGCGATACCCTTAGTTATCGTGATAGTGTCTCATACTCTTCTTACTAAAATGAGACTGTTGAGGATGGAAATATTTCTTCTTGCCTTGAGATTGATATGTGTGTTTTTCCGATAACGCGCTAGGTAAGGCAAGGGGAGATGCAACAACTGTCTGGAAGGTCGAGGTTTTCTAACTTGGTTGGATCTGGCTCCTATTTCCCACTTGTTGATAAGGGATAGCCATGGGGGGTTTCCTTTGATATGTCATTGCCTTGGCGAATGCAGGGTTGTAAGCCTGTGCCATCACTTCAGAGTAAGTCTTCCAAGTGTTGGCATTAATCATGTACTTGAAGAAACAGTCACGTAGACCTGTCGTGAAGGCTTTAAGGGCAGTCTTGTCATCTACCTCAACGCAATAAGAATACTCATAACTAAAGTGGCTGACATACTCACGTAGTGATTTGCCTGGCTTCTGCAAATAGTGTACAAGTCATCTGCAGAGTGCAAGCAATTGGTTTGGAAAATGTGTTGAGAAACAAACAATTTCTTCAGCTCCTCAAGGAAATTTACCGTCCCAGGTGGAATGCAGCAATACAAGTTCAGAGCTCCACCAAAGAGGGTGGAGCGGAAGAGAAGACATCGTTCTTCATTAGTATGTATCTGGTATGCCATAGTGGACTCAAAGAGGTTAAGGTGTTCAATCGGATCGTCATTTCCGATATATAGTTGTAAGCCCAGCTTTTACTTTGTCTTTGCTTGGAGATACGTGTCAATGATCCTTCTTGTAAGAGGGTCGGTCCTTGGTTGGTTCCAATCAGGTATCTTGCCTTGATGTTCGACCTTCAACTTGTTTACTTCCTCAAGAAGTTGCAGGATAATAGGGTCCTGAGTGGAGTCATGTATTACTGGAGCCTTCCTAATTAAGTTTCCATCACCTTTTAGAAGTAGGGAAGTTTGATCAATGGCATATGGTCTTTCCTTAGATTCACCATACTGATTTTTAAGGCATGTATGTCAG